GAGATATGCAACGGCGTCCAGTGTTGACCGCGAGGAGCGATATGCAAATTGATATATGTCATCTGGAATTCGATTCCCCTATACGTCGTTAGATCTGATATCCTTGTGACTTCCTTTTGCCAGGTGGTCTGGTTCAACTGTTATTTTACCCTTAGCGTGGGCCAATAAATTACTTTCCGCGGACAGTAGACAGTCTCGGTATCTCGGGTTGCCAAATTCAGCTGATAGCTATCTTGGCGCGACCTCCACTCCTTCGTGTCGAGTTTGCCACCTTCCTAGTCTGAAGGAGCCCTTCATGATCGCATACCCCGGTACCCCCGTTATCCTTAATATGTTCATCCAGTGATGTTTCAGATCATTGAATGAAGTACCGGACTACTCTTCGCTATGGGGGTGCTATACTTGACTACATACCACCGTAGGAATTCTCATCACTTGTTCGACCGTGACCATTTTATGTCTTGTGCAAACTGAAATGAATTGAACTGAAATGATTTATTTATGCGTTTTGTTTGAATCGTCTATTTTGTCGATACAGCAACCGCTCAACTTAGTAATTTCCGAAAATGGCGGATGACGCTCAGCTGGATTTGTTGAACCACAAGCTGCAGCTCCAGCAGGTTTGTTGTGACTGGATCACTTACAATGTCTGATAGGTGGAAGCAGCTTTGGAGTTGGACAAAGATAATGAAGATTTAAAAGCACTCAAACATGATCTTGAAGAAGTCATTAAATTGTCGGTGGAGTTACTAGGCAAGGCTGCTGACACTAATGAAGTACATTGGAACGTTGGTGACCAGTGTATGGCAATGTGCTCCCGTGATAAGCTGTAAGTATTTTACAGCGAATTTATTCCCTTTTAGGTATTATAAAGCCACTATTCTCGAATTCCTCGGGGATACGAACTGTGTGGTGAACTTCGATGCTTACAACACCACCGATGTTTGTCAGGTAAGATTCGGAGAATGATTCCATATTGGTTTTCAGTGAGTGTGTACATACCAAAGGTATCGCTTTTCCACTAAGTTTGTTTACCATCATAAGGATGATGGGGTTTTAATGAACTCATGTTTAGGCTCTTGCACGTTATTGAGCAGTACCTTTCACCTGAATTCAGACTCATCAATCAACCTTAGTTTACCTGGCTGCTTAACAGTCTCATTTCATCCTTTTTCCCATGCTGTCTTCGGGGTGGTCACCTTGCGGAACAATTCATTGGGGGCCCAATCCAATATTCCAGGACCTAAACGCCTGGGCGTTATGGTTGTGATTATGGCTCGGCCTGGTCGACAGACCCACCGAGCTGTACGTGTTTCCGGCTTGCATCGCTGTCGTCGGTCGGCCATGTAAATAGGTGGAATCTGTCAGTGTTATTCGCAGATAAGGTGGCTGATTCGAGACAACCGTTGGGAGAGTCGCTGCGATGGTTCTGTTAGGTTGAGCTGATTGGATGCGTTCAACTTCAGTTAACTCTACCCCAGGGCATATTTTCAGTGTTTGTACAATGAAGAGTACCAAGCTCTCCGCAACTAAATGAGTTTGATTTTATCTGCAAGTTTCAGTTTCTCAGTGGATTGGTCACAAGTGTTTGCTACGTCCTACCTTAAAGCCTTCCTCGGGTATATCATCCCATTGGTCAGTCCGGTAATTTGCTCACCGATGCGCCATGAACAGCACAGTTTTTGACGTTGATTTCGAATATGAGTTGCACAATAGAGGAATTCTCAGATGTCTGTATCTCGTGAATGTTTGATGTGGCATTCAGTTGGTTGCTCTATCCTGAAAGCGACAGCTTTTGGTTTCCGGATGACTGCAGGTTATAGCACAAGACGCCTGTGTGGTTGGTAAAACAATCAAGCTTTCGGGCTCCCAATTGGTTTCGATTGAATGTTGTAGGATGTATCAGATCTTTGTCAAAAATTCCCTGTTCTGGGCTACTTTTCTCTTTATAGTCTTTCCTCTGCGATGTGATTGTCGCTCGCTAACATAACGTCCGGTACTGAGCGAACGTATAAAATCATTGGTGAGTAATCCCCGTCTGATGGAGAGTCATGACAGGTAGTTACGGCTCTTGCTGGTTTGCCCCTTTTTCTTCTTCGGATCAATGAACGAATTGCATTAGTTTTTTGTCTCGTCTTTCCATGTCGAAACCGCTCTTCAGTGTCGCTTGCCACTGACAACTGTTTAATGCAGAACACCGTGAACCAGTGTCAAACGGGTGCGCGGACATCCCGAGCAATTTCTATGAAGTAAGTACAACTGCCGCAGTTCGTGGCAATTTCGAGAATAACCCACGGATGCATGTCCAAGCACCGTGAGCCAGCACCAGTAATTGGTCGCTAAACCAGATACCCACTGGTTTGTGAGGTCATTGCACTACGTGACAATTTTTATCGTCTGTTAAAGATTTATATGCGCATAACTGCATTCATAGTGTAAATCGCACCAGGTATAAGGTGCCTTTCAGTGGTAATTTATAAATATTTTACTACGTTTTTTGAACTTCGCTCCGACAAGTTTGCGCGTTCAACCGTGAAACCGGTTCGTCGAACTAAGTTAATTGGTTGAATGAAATTTTGTGGATGATTCTTTACCTCCTTTACAGCCATCTTTTGTTTTGCTTTTCAGTTGGTGCACCTGAAACCGCTAACGACAGTTGCCCCGATTGTGAAGAAGAAAAGTCGAGATATCAAAGCTCGCCAGATTGAAAAGAAGAAACTTAAGAAACAAAAGTTGTTGCAACGTGAGGAGGAAATCGAAGCTACCTGCGAGAGCGAAAAAAATCGCTGGCTCAACTTCAGTAAAAAGATGATCAAGACCGGCAAAACAAAGAAGAGTATTTTCGCATCACCCGATGCTCCAGACGGCCGTGTGGGCGTCGGCACTTGCGGCATTGGTGGTCGTCCCATGACCAAATTCACCGTATCCAATTACAGTCGCAAAGTATGATCTCGAGGCTGTGGACACCCATGTACATTTTGTAAATATATTATTTTTCATCCAGCACTTCAAGATTGCTTTATATGGTGGTGATATGCGTACTCTCATTCTCCCGCAATAAGAAATTGAAACATCCTGGGTTTTCATCCAATTTCCCACAGAGGTTTCATTACATAAAGTGTCTGTTATGGTTTGTATGTCTATGGTTTTGAGGCAGAGCCAAGAAGTCATTCACTAGGTGCTTTTTGACGAATCGCAACTCGGACCATTGGTGGCTCTTCCAGTTGTACGCAGGTACACCGGGAGCTTATTACGAAGGATTGATGTTCCGAGCTTCAATTGGTAGAAAGAATAGGCGACTGATACGCTGATTGTACTTACCATATGAACTACCAAGATACCGTTGGAGCGTCGTCATTGTTGGTGTGTGCGTCGTTTTTGGCCAATGGGAACGCCGTGGGTCCGAGTAATACTTTGAATCGCTTCTGCGCAGGTCTTCCGCCCTTTGTTTACCACTTGAATTCCTCTATTTTGGAGCCGCTGCAAACAGCACAGTGTGGCGAGTGGCCGCGTGTCCCGCCCAGTGAGTGTGGCTTGAGTATTTTTCATTTCGTCCACGTGTGCTGCAGAACCCTTTAGTCACGAGGACCTGCTGTTCAGTGGCGGAGACCGGCAACCTTAGCCCCGGGACTTGGAGTGGCGAACCGCATAAGGCCCCTATAGGCTAGGCGTTGCATTGAGCCAGACGACAGCAGAGTTGCCTACCACCAAAACAGCGAGTACGATTTATCCACGCCCGTGATGCACATGTTAACGTAATGCAACTAGTGGATGATTCGATTGTCCAGTACGGGCACTCAACTACCCCTCGCTTTGCGGGGGATTGGACTCAAGTTTGAGAAACCGAGAGCGGTCAGGAATATCCGGGCAACTTTCCTCGCTTTTTGGGATTTTCAACTCCGTGGTGCAAATCGTGGATCGTTTCTCTTTTCATAAGGCCTATTATACTGCGACTTGTTTGGCACAGTCTGAACTCAGGCGTGTGTAAAATAAATAAATATATATGCCACAAATTATCATCTTTAGTTGTTGCGGCTGCCTCAGTTGAGGAATTCGAGAGCTGACTGGATGCGATTTGGATGGAACTTCCCGGAAGCCATATAAATAGCTCCTGGTTGATGATGTAGGCACGCGTGCCTGTTCATGTGCACCTATGCGCGTACTGGAAAACGATTCTGATGTCGCTGGTGGACGGACAGCAGACTTCTCAGTTGCGTGGCAACCACAATCACCACTACACAGGGCCGGCAAATAGTGAGCTCAGACGGACAAAAGCTGAGGGCAGTTACTTGAACGCGAGTGGACTAGAAAACTGGAATTAAGGCTTCAGAGAGGATAGGAGAGGTTTTACACGTTGCCGCCATTTCCAGTCGTGCTCCTTGTCTATCGACCCTTCAAACTTTCCCAATCAGCGTATACAGGACGAACCGAAGGAGACCAACATACCTCCAATTAGGCGGCGACGTCTCCTAGGGTTGGTACAGTAAGGTGCGTACCGAACCAAATTGACGAAGATTATTATTAACATTGGTAGTACATATGTTTATATTTCGCACCGGCCTTTAGACAAACATGGTGCCAACACCACAACAATAATAGGGGGCAGGTGGTTTGGAATACAGAACAAACTGGAAAGGTGAAACAGTTAAACACGGTAACAGGGTAGATAGCTTGGATAACAACATTTATTTTGTTTCACCGCACACTTCTTGGTATTTTTTGTGTTGCTTGTTGTTTTTTACGGGGCGCACGATTTCGACAGCAGACCCTACAGCATTCGCGCTGCTGATTTCTATTCTGGGTCATGCCTCTCAGCGTCTCCAACCAACGACAATCCTCATCCCCTGGCTCCCAACCTGGAAGACCGGCTGCACCAAACGAAGCCAAAGCTCTACGCCATGTCATGGTCTGACCGCCCCGGCGCTTCTTCCAGCCTTGCCCCACACGTGCTAAGAGAGTATGGGAAAGTAGTCGATGGGCAGGCATACGCAATACGTGACCAAGCCACTGGAGGCGGTGAAGATCGACTGCTTCTGTTAGAGAACGACTATCCGCATTAGTAGTGGTCACATCGAAACACGGAAATGTGAAAGGAAACCGCGAATATTCATCGGTTAATAAAAGTAAATATTTATTACGTATGGGATGGTAATGATCCCTTGAAATCCATATTTGATCTTGCTAACGGAGCGAAAGCCAGAGCAGCTTTCGCCAACCTACCACCTGTGGCGCCGCCATGACATCCGACTATCCCTTAAGGGAGGAGTGTACATCGCCACAGTTCGCAGGGTTTTGCTTTACGGTTGCGAGACCTGGCCTCTTCGCATTGAGGATGCTAATCGACTTTCTGTATTCGACCACCGATGTCTCCGAAGCATTGCTCGTGTCTGGTTCGAACATCGGGTGAGCAATGACGAGGTCCGTCGTGTGTTGGGTGTGGACAGTCACTCTCTAACAGAAGTAATCGCCCTACACCGCCTCCGATGGCTGGGTCACGTATTGCGTATGCCTGTCCATCAAATACCTTTCCAAGCTCTTCGCACGTGCGGGGCAAGGCTGGAAGAAGCGCCGCGGCGGTCAGACCATGACATGGCTCAGACAGGTACAAAGAAGCTGGTTTCAGCTTCGCCTTCGTTTGGTGCAGCCGGTCTTCCAGGTTGAGATCCAAGGGCCTAGGGTTATCGTTGGTTAGAGACGCTGAGAGAATAGAAGTCAGCAGCGTGAATGCTCTACGGTCTGCCGGTCGAATTCCTATACCCCATAAAAAACAAAACGAAACGAGAAACTAACAAAAATATTTCAAAAAGTGTACGGTGAAACACAAAAAAGTTGCTGCCCCATTTATTTGTAATTTTCCATTTCAACAATTTCGTCTTTTACCCTATGTTCTGTATCCCACCCCCAGTTATTGTTATTATTGTTGTGGCGTTGGCACCTTGCTTGTCCACAAGCCGGTGTTATATATATATATATATATATATATATATATATATGTTTTTACGTCATGTACGGTCGATTCTGGGATCTCACGGAGTGCAGGCGATTCACGACGCCAAGGTGACACATTGAACTATAAAGTTCCTTCAGTAACAAAACTCTAAGCGGATTCTATGCGCACGCGAAATAGTGTCAGTAGCTACGTTTTCTTTACCTGAGTGGTATGATACGTCGGAGCTGTAGCGTAAGTTTGATTCTCCAGCGCAGTATTCTCTCGTATTCGACTTTCCCTCACTGCTACTTGTCATAGACGAATGTAACTGACCTCTGATCAGTGATTGTGAGAAACTGTGAATCCATTAAAAAATACTGCCGTTTTCGAATTGCCTCGATAATAGCACAGGCTTCTTTCTCGGCGAGCTGTTCGGAAGAAGTTAGTGTTCGGGAGGAAAACGCAACTGGTTACCTGTTCGCTACATCCGAGGCATCGGTTTCCATCAATAGGGGTGTGTGAGGATCGACAGTTGTAATTACAGCTCGAGCCGGTCCACTCTTCCGGAAGTTATGCACACGTATGATGCTTTTTGGCAACGGGAATGTGCGTTTGTTGACCAGAGGGTTAATCTTGTCAGAGGTATAAGGTACCCACCGAGGACATTATACGAATAACTGAACAACTCGTTGCATCGTCTTTTGATTTCGAGGAGGCAACATCTCAAGCAAGAGTTGTAGATGATCCAAGTAGGGTTTGTTGGAGATGTGGGAGAATTCCTACCCCAGTATCTTGATCCTGACCGTGTTTTATGGTATTTTTAGCTTCATGAAAGGTAAACGAGTATTAATGAGCGACCTCGTACAAAACGATCCAAGGTTCTCCGATGCTCTTGCTCAGGGAAACCACATTGTGGTGTAACCTAAATAAGTAAAAGTGGCTTCCGGGTTATCGTTTTTAATGATTTGATCAATGGCTCTTTTGAAAGACGAAACGCTTTTGGTGATTCCGAAGGGAATAGTCAGAATCTGCCGCTCCTAAGGGTATCTGATGGTATGTGCTCCTCAAATTCATTGGAGTGAATATCGTTTACTGTGAGATTTTCTTCACCATTTCCTCCAGCTTAGATAGAGGGTAGAGGGTAGGCATCCAAGAGCTTTTAGAGAAGGGGGACTTGCGATATCCAGATGCGCAATGACGATCCGATCTCGAAATATCCCGTGTTTCTCGATCACCCAGTATGAATCAGGAAGAACCACCGGTTGGTCGAGGGAAAATACATTGTTCCCTGGAAGCACCGGAGTTTAGCCTGATTATGCTTGAGAGTATCTGAAAGCGGAAATGCTTAGCAAACGAAAGGTGTAGCTCTGAACTCACGCACCGTTTAAAGTGAGGAGTACTTCAACGGAGGTGGTAGAGACCTAAACAAAGATAAATGACTTAGCTGAAGGAGTGGTCTCAGGATATCAAAGATCCTGGCGGATTCTATGCTACAAAGGAGAAGGATGCACGAGCGAATGCTCCAAACAACCAATGCCTGCAATCATGTGAAAGCATACATGCGGAACAGGCAGACCAAAGATGGTGACACTCTCGAGCATGTTACACTGTTGGTCTCGAGCCACTACAAGCTTGAAGCGATGAAGTCTGACTGTAGTCAACTACTATTCTACGTTTTTGATATTCGTTGATTGTAACAAGCATGGGCACACCAAGGAGATTGCGAAGGTTCTATTCTGCTCCCCTCTACCAACAATTTCTGTGCTTCAATTTTGACGAATAACCCTTTCGAAGGTGAATGCCTCCCCCCCCCCCCCCCCCCCGAGATCTGGTTGCAATCAGCGTACAGTTGGATGTAAGATTGTTAAATACCGGAGGGGACTCGATCTTCGCAGCCGCTACATCACATACTAAAAATGAATCTTTCGCTCCATTGAACGTGATTTCTATTTTTAAGTGCAGTCGAAAAAATCGTCCCCAAGGACAACATCTGAATAAAGGCTGTCAAATACAGAGTTTG